TAACTGGACAAATTGAATTTCTTAATGCATGGTATTCTGATGCATAAGAAAAGTATTGCCCTTCTGTACAATTTTATAACATCCTCATCTCCTCCTCCTTCAGTTTCTTTTTTCTTTTTTCCAGTAGTTAATTCACTACATGACTATTATCCTTGATATATGATACGCTGGTATAGCAAACTACTTTCTAAGTAGAAGAAAGACTTTCCGAAACTTAGAAATAGGGCAAATCGGGTCTGGGAAAGCAGTGTGTCCTTTCCATGTCACACTGAAGCATTGTTAACAGGCCCTTTGAGAATTATTTAATTATTTGGGGGGATGTTTCATAGTTTGATGCTCTGCTTATTGTTGATTAAAGACCCCATGCTTCCTCATGTCCTGTGTATTTTTTTGCTCCCTGGGACATTAACCCGTTTTTTGTCTAAACTGTTTTATTCTAACCTTCCTTTCCAAATGCCTATAAATGACCAGTTCCTCAAAATGACCAGCTTTACCATCTTAATAGTTTCCTCATGAAGGAGTTATTAAATTTTTGACATTCTTTCATTCTTTATTTGTATGAGTTATGTTTTTATTTTTTGAAAGTTCTATTTACACTATGAAGATAATTAAACTGTCCAAAGGCCAATAGAGCACCACCTAATAAATTACTACCTACGAGATTTTCATGGGTAGTAAAGAGACGAAGGAGGTTAATGGTCTAACTTTATAGATGAACATAGCTTACATTCAAAATTTTTTTCCCTTTCAACTGGCCTTTTTTCATACTCTTTGATTATATGAAAAGCAGGACCTATGTTTAGATTTTAACCTACAGAAATAATTCTAAGCAGTGTCTACAATAGCCAAACTATGGAAAGAGCCCAGATGTCCATCAACAGAGGAATGGATAAAGAAGATATGATATGTGTGTATATATATGTGTGTGTGTATATATATATATGTGTGTGTGTGTGTGTATACATATACGCATACACACACACACACACACAATGGAATATTACTCAGCCAGCAAAAAAAAAAAAGAAATTTTACCATTTGCAACGATGTGGATAGAACTAGAGGGTATTATGCTAAGCAAAATAAGTCAATCAAAGAAAGACAATTATCATCTGATTTCACTCATGTGTGGAATTTAAGAACAAAACAGAGGATCATAGGGGAACAGAGGGAAAAATAAAATAAAATGAAATCAGAGAAGTAGACAAACCATAAGAGACTTTTAACTCTAGGAAACAAACTGAGGGTTGCTGGAGGGTAGGTGGGTCGGGGGTGGGGTAACTGAATGTTGAGCATTAAGGAAGGCACTTGATGTAATGAGCACTGGGTGTTATATACAACTGATGAATCACTGACCTCTACCTCTGAAACTAATAATACACTATATGTTAATTAATTGAATTCAAATTGGAAAAAAAAGAAATAATTCTAAAAGTACTCTCCATCCACCAGCTATGGACTTGGCTGTGATTGATCAAAATACAGTGTGTAGATCTGAGGTGGATGCCCAGGCTAGCACCAGTGCTCAGCATACACCACTAAAAAACAATACTGCTTTTTTTCCCCCTATCTGTACACGAGTTGATCGGTAGATAAGCACATTCCAAGTTTTCAGAAGCACATGACTGACATGATGACATGATTTGTTGGTGATTTTGTATTTAGTTAGAGAATACCTGAAACTTCCATTTTGAGCATTGATTATTTGTCACTATAATGATTCATCATTATTCGAGACTCTGCATTTCTTAAATGATATTAGTGAATAACTTGGGCCAAGACACCAGGCAGACAGACAGTTAGATATACAGATAACATGCATATTCTTTTTAAGATAAAAGATACATACTAATTGCATAGTAATTAGCACTATAAATAAAAAGGAGGGGATAGTAAAATGGCAAGAAAGTAAAACCTTTAACACAAGATTTGTATATAAAAGTAAAAATATTTATATACAAATAACTGATATGCTTATTATAAATCATTATTTAAGGAACCCAATTCCCCAAAATAACATGTATGTATGTATGTGTATAAATAGATGCACATAGAGGTTTTTTTTAAAAAAATAGATCATTAAAATGCCTTTAATCCAATGGAATAATTTAAGAGTAAAAGTACCCTGTAAATATTATCAAGCTCAATATATTGCCTTACAGTAGTGAAATTAGTCCTAGAAATGTTAAATTACTTGTTCAAGGCAACATTAAGAAGTGTCAGAGCTTCGACAAGAGTCAAGGTCTTCTGACAGTCATGTCCATCACTGTACCATTTGATCTCTACTATATGTAGTTCATTAGAAAAAAATTATTGAATGTGAGTGTGGACCTTTACCTGGCTTTGGTGGTGATGGTGAACTCTTACGTTTGTCCAGAAATGTGAAAAATCATTATCAGTCACAGTTCTTGCTCTTTACAGTTTGGATTTGACTCAGATTCACTTTGGAGAATCTCTCTTCCCATTGCCTTTCTCTCCTGTTTGGCTTTAGCAGCTAGCTGACAGGCCAGGAGGAACAGTTCTTTGCCCTTTCCTTTATTTACCCCACTACATGGAAGACTTCTTTTCTCCATGAGCTTTGGTATCTCTCATCTTGTTCTGTACAGCCGTGTTCATTTTTTAATCCCTTCCCTGTCTTAGTAGCTTCCTAAACTGAGGAACAGAATGAGAAATGCTGTACTATCAAATACCACATAGAAAATAAATTATAAACTCTTACTTGGTCTTATTGGCTTGATTTTATTTATTTATGTCTTAGCAATATCGCTTTATTCTGGTTTTCTCCATTTCAGATTTATAATGATTTTTCTGCTGCATTGTGAGTTGTAGACATTTGTAAGCTAGTTTAGCTTATAAACAGAAACCTGCCCTGGGTTACAATTAAACTCCAGTAAATTTAAAATTTTTCATCATTTGAACTTGAGAATAAAATTTAAAATTTATTCAGATTTTTCAACAATTCAGTCTACATTTACCAGTTACTCTGGATTTTTTAAAATTATATTTAATATTCATTATTGTACCATATTCAGATTTTAAACTTCTTGTGAGAGGGAATAGCCTTGTCTCTTTGTATTCCTTATATAGTATAAATAACACACTATGTTCAGATTGAGTATCGATTTTAGAGTATTAGGTATAACTAATGGATGCTTTATACACTCCTCCAAAATCTGTCTTACTGCTTTGAGTAAAGAACGAAAAACACTATGCCTAAAATTCATTATGTGACTTGTTGCAAAATGGGCATCAAATGTGTATTATATTTAACAGATTTTTAAAAATCAGTTTATAGTATTTTTCATCTATTTCATGTATGGAAAATAATTTTGCATCATATTGATGCATTTATTATGTTCAGTTAATTATAGGAATGATCACTAATAGATGAAAAATATCTTGAAGGCTCATCTGGTTAAGTAGATTTCCAAACCACTTCCTACCACCCTCCCTTCCAGTGAAAAGGTAGTGTAGCCAGTAGCATTTCTCCATGCTGCTCAAAGCATTCACTCAGTGTAACTTCCTTCTACCTGTTCTCATTTTGAAAGCTTTAGCAATTTGGGAGAAATGTCAAGTTGTTTCACCTCACCAACAGTTTGAGACCCTGTCAGAACAGGGTGCTGATGATCGAAGATCATAAGTGTACTTCCCTTCTCATTCTGTCCAGTTAATTTTATTCTTTCTTAGACCACAGATACATGTTTCCACAGATAGTCTTCTTAAGTATCATTTTGGTCATGGACTTTCCAAAATGGAATAATTATTTCTAGCTCTGAGGATCAGGAAATGAGAGAGTACATTTTTACTGAGAATTAAAGGCATTTCAGTGAGAGAGAGAAAAGCATCCTGGGCAAATGGAGGAATAGAGTGGAGGAATTCAGGTGAAACGAGCAGGGCAGAGAGAACAGTCAGGAGTCGGACCTCAGGATTAGAGTTGTGATATGGAAGGTATTATAAAGGATTCTAAATGACAGGATGAGGGATTTTGACTTCTCGGAAACCAGAGAAACTCCTTGAAGGAAGGCCCTGGGTGAGGGAGAAACAAGATAATAGGTATGCTTTAGAAAGATTAATCTAACAGCAGTGCTTATGATAGATTGAATGTAGAAGAGACTAGAAGAGGGAAGACCAGATGGGAGCTTTTTTCTGTACTCCATACAAGAGTTCATTAGGGTCTGAACTGAGGTGACGCAACATGGTTATGCCACTGACAGAAATAAGAACAAAAAAGTAGGTGTGGGAGTGAAGCATGAAAGACACATTTAAATTTAGTTGTAAAAATCAGAAAAGATAGTGTTTTTATCACTAGGTATAGTGATACTTGAATAGAAGTAGCTGAGAATGACAAGAAGTAAATGTCATGAGAACATGGAGAGAGTTGGTGCAGATTTTATGAACCCAGTGCTATTTTTTCTAGTCAGATCTTTAAAAATTTGCTTCAGTTCATTTAAAACTTTTTATTCTTTTATGTGCATATGTAGAAATTCTTTTTGTGGAAAATGCTGACTTGTTGGAGGGTCACATTATTTTATCCTGGTAATATAAATAGATGAGAAATCTAAAATGTGGTTACTGGTGTAGGAGCTATAGCTGAAAGGACAGTTTACTGTAAGTTATTCTGAGATTCGAAGACTTGATAAATATGAATGATGATAAACCTCTTTCTTTAAAGTTAATGTGTTATCAGTCACGTTTGCAAGATCAGGACATTGATGGCAGGTCACAGTTTCTGTTTCTTGTCTAATAATCCTAAAAATACAACTGTAAACAAAACACAGTCCCTGCCCTTCTGCAACAGTAAACAAATAATGAATATGAAAAAGTATGTTTGATCCCCAAACCAAAGTAAGTAACTTGTGTAGTTGTACAGTGATTTTTTTTTATAGTATGTATTTGGTAATTATGAAAATGAAATGTGTTGGTTCAAATACGAAGCTTCTTAAAATTCTTAGTATTTTATTTTCGGATTGTGTGTTCACATATTGTTTGTTTATCAATAGAGAGCAGATCATAAAACAGTCTACAGAACTAGTCTGCAGAGCCTACGGTGAAGTATATGCTGCTGTGATGAATCCAGTCCATGAATACAGAGATCCAGAGAGCATCCTGCACCGATCGCCGCAGCAAGTGCACACGCTTCTCTCCTGATAATCTAAAATAGTGCGTCCCTAGAACTCTAAAGGTTTTCTTGTTCTTTAGTCTGTTAATCTTCACTTTGAAATTTGATGGTTACGATTTTCTTTGTGTCATAACATTGTAGGTCCCAGTGGTTTCTTTTCTTTGATCACAGATACATGGAAGTAAGTAATATAATCTCGACCTGAGTTAGTGCTGCTCTGTATCTGCTCCTTATGTAGAGATGCTGTGTTCTCTGCGAGCCACCTCCCCAGCTCTGCAGTTTTCTGGAATATAAATGTATGGGGAAAAGTCGTATGAAAGGTTTGAGAGATTTTTCTTTACAACATTAGTTCCAAATTAATCATACATAAAAAATTTGTCTAAACTTAAGAATTAGTACAAAGGTGGGACATAACATCTCCTTACCTAAAGATTAAGTTGCTTTCTTATTAGTTATTCATGTGAGTTGACATATTTAAACTGAGGAGCAGAAATATACACTTAGCAAAAAGTGGGAAAAGAGAGAGAATGAGAAGTAATTTAAAGAGGGTGGATGTCACTCTGTGTATACCCTGGACTGAATTCAAGGTGAAGTTCGCACTGCAAAAGGATTTTAGGCATGTAGGCACCCTGTGCTGCATGTAAATGTAGTGTTTAATGATAGGTATTTGTTATATAGTATGAACTCTAAACCTAACCAACTACGGATTTTATCTGGTGTTCAAACCAAAGAAAAATGATCTACTCTCACACCAGAGGAAAAATACTGAGTAGCAACTGCTCACTGACAGTGTATCTATACCCCCTGGTGGCCCCTCACAAAGAATGATTTGGGCTCTGACTTTAGAACTTTACCTATGAGTAAGATTCAGAATCACTGTGTTTTTCAAAAAAATAGATTTCGATGTGTTTGATGTGACTTTACTTTGTTGGTAAGATTTCAAGGATGATTCTTAATAGCAAAATATCTTAATGTCTGGTAAAACTATAAAAAGAGGTGAGTCCTTAAATTATAAATGAGAAAACTGAGGCATAAGGAAAAAATGGACAAAGCTAAAATATTTTGCAAAATGGTAAGATAAAACTAATATTTATATAACATATAATGTATAACACATTATTTACAGAACATGGCCTATTCATGTATCTGAAATTTGTAATTGTTTATATTAATATGATTCTTTTGGAGTAAGAGCAGTTATTTATCACCTCTTTTGGTATAAATCTATGCTTTTAGTCTTTTTCCTTCAATGAGTATGTGTGATATATAAAAGATAGAAAATAAAGTATGATATAAATTGAGAGCTTAAATTTTATATAATTTATTTCTATAATGAAAAAAAGATTGCTACCTTATCATTAATTAATCCCTTTGTTTTCTAGGAAAAAAGTGTATTTGGCTTTTTATACAGTTTCCTCAAAATATTAAAACTATTTCTAGAACAATGATAATTGAAGTATATTTTTATACATCTCATCAGTGTGCTTTTAGAAAATGTACTAATAGAAAAGGAAGTACAATATAGAGCCAAATTGAGATGGTGGAAGATTGATGAGCAGAATGCGTTATCAATATTATCTTGAGTACTAAGTCAAAATAAAAGATTATAAGTGCGAATTCGTGGACACAATGCTTGTATTTGCTATATACTTCCTGGTTTGCATTTTGAGCTGTTTTGATGTGGCATAAGTATAACCTTAGAGAATACATGTTAGCCTTTTCTCAGAGAAAGGTATTTGCCTCGCAAAAACTTCTGGTTGAATTCTTCTGTTTCTTTCTTTGCACCTGTACTTGAATAGATGAATGTTACCTGAGAAAAATCACATAAATGGACTGAATGACTTTTTAAATTCATGATCACAGTCTTGAGATGGCATCGTATTGCTTTGTAGTTCTACTCCGTCTCTTAGCTAACCTCACCTCTCCACTTTTCAAAATGACTTTTCCACCCTCACTTTTAATGACCCTCATAATTTATAGAGAAAATAGAAGCTGTTAGATTAATCTCCCTTATTTTCCCACCTTCAAATACTGCACTCATCTTCTCCATCTTTCCTGTAGAAATTGCAAAAATGATGTTTTTATGGTTATAAACTTATAAAAATTATAATTTAAAGTCATAATTTCACAAAAATTATAAGTATCTTTTCTGGAGTTGAAAATTATAATAACTGAAATTTAAAAATTCACTGTAGGAGTTGAACAGATTTGAATAGTTAGCAAAAAGAATCTGCAAATTTGAAGTTAGGCCAGTGGAGATTATCCAATCTGAGGAACAGAAAGAAAAAGGGATAAAAAAAAGAAAAAAGAAAAAAAGGATGAAAGTGAACAGGGCCTCAGAGACCTGTGGGATATTATCAGTATTCATACAATGGATGTTTCAGAAGGAAAAGAGACGGGAAAGGGGGCCAAAAGAGTATTTGAAGAAATATTTGTAGGAAACTTTACAAGTTTGTTGAAAAGTTTAATATACACATTTAAGAAGTTAACCAAGCCCACACAGAGATACACACCAAGACACATCACAATCAAATTATCAAAAGCCAAAGACTAAGAGGGGAACTTGAAAGCAGCGAGAAAGATAACTCATCATGTACATGTGATTTACAATAAGATTATCATGATTCTCCTCAGAAACCATAGAGGTCAGAAAGCATTAGATGACATATTAAAGTGCTGGAAGAACAAAACTGTTAACTTAGAATTCTGTAGCCAGCAAAACTGCCTGTGAAAATACAAAGTTAAGACAGCTCAGGATAAACAAAAACTATCACACCTGCCTTAAAGGAATGTTAAAGGTAGTTCTTGTGGCTGAGGGGCACCTGGGTGGCTCAGTTGGTAAGCATCTGCCTTTTGCTCAGGTCATGATCCCAGCATCCTGGGATTGAGCCCTGTTGGGCTCCCTGCTCAGCGGGTAGTCTGCTTCTTCCTCTCCCTCTGCTGCTCCCCCTGCTTATGCACTGCCCCCCCATAAATAAATAAAACTTAAAAATAAAATAAAGGTAGTCCTTGTGGCTGAAATGAAAGAATACTAGACAGTCACTTGAATCAACAAAGAAATAAAGAATAGCAAGGAAATAGAGGACTCAGGCAAGCCAGCTAGACAGAACACCATCCCAACAGCAGAGTACACATTCCTCTCAAGTCTACATGCTGCATTCTCCAAGGCAGACCATATGTTAGGCCACAATTCAAGTCTCAGTAAATTTTAAAAAGAGTGAAATCATACAAAGTATCTTTTCCAACTACAATGGCACAAAATTAGAAACCAATAACAAAAGGAAAATAAATAAATAGGGAAATTAAATAATATACTCTTAAATAACCAGTGGGTTAAAAGGGAAATAAAGGAAATTAGAGAAAACTTCGAGGTGAATGAAAGTTTGATATAAAACAGCATACCAGTACTTAGAGTATGCAACAAAAACAGTGCTTAGAAGAAAATAGCCTGCATTAAAGAAGAAATAAGTTAACCTAACCTTACACCTTAAAAAAACTAGAAATAAAGCAAACTAAACTGAAAGCAAGAAGAAGGAAATAATAAAGATTATGGCAGACACAGAGAAAATATAGAATAGAAAAATAGTGTTTCAGTGAATGGGTGTGCTAGCCATTCCATAATGCATGTAGAGATGTGTTTGAATACACATGTAAAAAAGTTTGAAAAATTGTTTCTTGTATGGCATGTTGAGAAGAGTTATTTCTGAGAGTGTATGTGCTAATCATAATGTAATGCATGCAGACAAGGATTTAAAGAAACATGTAAGATGTTTCTAGGAGTGTTCCTTGCTCGTCATGTTGAGAAAAATGTTACTTCAGTTATTGGATGTGCTGACCAGTGTTACATGTAAAGAAGTTGTTATTTATAAACATATATGTAAAAAATAAAAATAAAGAATAGAAAAATCTTAAAAAAAAAAAAAGAATAAATTGTTTTTTTAAAAAAATTGACCAACCTTTGGCTAGATTGACCAAGAAGAAAGAGAGAAGACTCAGATTACTAAAATCAGGTATAAAAAGTTAGTACTGACCTACAGAAATAAAATACAGAAATAAAAAGGATAACAGAATACTACAAATAATTGTACATCAATAATTAGATAATATGGATGAAGTGGACAAATACAGAAAAACAATCTAAACTGACTCAAGAAGAAATAGAAAATCTGAATAGACCTATAGCGAAGAGATTGATTCTGACTCAGTTTGACTCAATTTGATTACTAGAGTCCAAACAATTCCAATTTTTAAAAAGCCCTGGATCAAATGGCTTCACTGATAATTTCTATCAAATGTTTAAAGAACTAACACTAATCTTATCAAAGTCTTCCAAAAAATAGAACAGAGGGGACACATCCGAACTTGTTCTTTGAGGCCAACACTTGTTATTGGTATAATAAAGCCAGAAAAGGCAACATAAGAAAATCATAGTCCAGTATCCCTTATGATTATGAATGCAAAATCCTCAACAGAATACTAACAAGAAAATCCAGCAACTACTAAAGGATTATATGCTAGGACCAAGTGAGTTTGTCCCAGGAATGCAAGACCAGTTTAACATATGAAAGTCAATCAATGTACTACACCATATTAATAGAATAAATAATAAACATGATTACTTTAAAAGGTGCAGGGAAAGCATTTGATAAAACAAAAAGCACTCAACAAATTAGGAATAGAAGGGAACTTCCTCGAACTGATAAAGGACACTTATGAAAAACTTACATCTAACATTATACTGAAAGCTCTCCCTCCTAAAATCATGAGTAAGATAAGGTTGTACACTCTTGCCACTTCTCTTCCACGTTGTACTAGAAATTATACCCAGACAAATTAGGTAAGACTAAATAAAAGACACTCAGATTGGAAAGGAAGAAGTAAATCTATGTCCTTTTGAAGATGGTATGAGCATGTATATCTATTATATATATTTATATCTATCTATATGGTCATATATGTATTAGAACTAATAAACAAGTGTAGCAACATTGCAATATATAGACCAGTATGCAAAAATCTGTTGTATTGCTATACACTAGTAATGAACAATCTGAAAAAGTAAGAACACAATTCCATTTGCAATAGCACTACAAAGAATAAAATACTTAGGAATAGATTTAACCAAGAAAGTGAAATACCCACTGCAAACTACAAAACATGGTTGAAAGAAATTAAAGATGGTCTAAGTAGATGGAAAGACATTTCATGTTCATGGATGAAAGACTCAATATTGTTAAGATGGCAATATTCCCCAAACTGATCTGTAGATTCAATGCAGTCCCTATCAAAATTTCATTTGCCTTTTTTTTTTTTTGGTCCAGAAATAGACAAGCTGATACCAAAATTTTTATATGGACATATAGGGGACCATGAATCACCTAAATGATCTTGAATCTTCCCAATGTCAAAACTTACTACAATCAAAACAATGTGATACTGGCATAAGGATAGGCATCAACGGGATAGAATTTAGAGTTCGAAGTAAACTCACACATGCATCGTCAACTGATTTTTTTATAAAGTTGCCAAGACCTGTCAATGGGGAAAGAATAATCTTTTTAGCAAATGGCACCAGAACAACTTGAAGTCCACATGCAAAAAGGTTGAAGTTGGGGGCGCCCGGCTGGCTCAGTCAGTGGAGTGTGCGACTCTTGATCTCGGGCTGTGGGGTTGAGCCCCATGTTGGTTGCAGAGATTACTTAAAAATAAAATCTTAAAAAAAAAAAAAATTGAAGTTGGACCATATTCATGACATATACAAGAATTAACTCAAAATGGATCAAAGATCTCAATGTAAAAGTTAAAAACTATAAAACTCTCAGAAAGAAACATAGGTATAAATATTTGACCTTATATTAGGCAACAAGTTTTCATCTTTTATACAATATAGATTTTAAAATAAATATTAAAATGCAGGGTCACATAATAATGTTGAATACTTGGAGGTCAGCTTATTTTTCCTATTTAGTTAAATATACTGTTTAGATACTATTATAAATACATAGGTCTACATATGGTTACTTTAGGGCTATAATCGTACTTAAGCACAATTATCTTGAAAATATGTATTTATTTTCCCTTAAAGTGTGCTTCTGGAGATAGATTATATAATTATGTATTTTCATATCCACACATGAAATGACTATAAATTGGCTAAGAAACAAATATAATAATCATTTAATAACAGCATGCTCATCTATCGAATCCAACTAACATTAATGTCAAAAACAAAAACTTGCCTAGCACTGATAATTTAATAAGTAAAAATAAATGGTACTAAGCTTATGAAAATAAGGGAAAATTGTTGGCAGGGCTGAAAATATCCATATGAAATATTTGCTTGCTTTGAGAGGATGTATCATTGTTTGACAAAGTGTTTTTTCATGGTATATTTTAAGCAGTTAAAGTCCTAGCCAATCTAGGAGTTTCAAAGTTAATAGCTTTGCCACCAGGAAATTAATTTACTTGAATATTCTGTTCATTTCCATCAATGTCAAGATCTGGAATTCCACTGGAGCGAGCATTAGTTTTTGCCTACTAAAAGCAAAATGACAAGAAACACGACTGGTTTTTCTTACACAAGCCAGCATCAAAAGTTGGGTCTCCTGTGCTGAGATGCCATGAGCCTTCCTGGGGGTATCAAATGTATGAGCCTACTTTGGAGACTTCAGACAAGAGCTGGCTGCTATTTGCTATCCAGGCCTCAGATGGAATATAAAATGGTAATGAGGAGTGCACGGAGGTAAAAAAAAAAAAATGCATTTGCCTGAGAAGCCAGGTCTTAAAAAAGAAACCAAAGATTGGGTTAGTATTCCACAGCCTTGCAATATGCACTTAATAGAAGATCGGGAATTTTTCTCTCTTGAAAA